TTTTTTTTTTTTTTTTAGTTAAAGCTTCGCCCTTCCCATTTTTATTGATATAATTTCTCTCTCTCTTAAAAAAAAAATACTTTGGAACATTAGCCAACTCAAAACTATGCAAAAGCATTTGTTCAAGGAAATATCCTTCTTCCCATATACCTTCCATCCTGTTCCCCTCCCTCTAGTAGATAACACATGTATTGTTTTCTGGAATATCCTTCCTGTGTTTCTTTGTGTAAAAAGAACCAGAGGTATGCATGCTTTATTGTTTTCCCTTCTTTCTTACACTCAGAGTGTAGTCCACCATGTATGCTCCTTGGCCCTTGGCTCTCTCCGCGTAGCCCTGTCTCCGGAAGTCACTCCGGAAGTCACTCTGTATCAGTTCACAGCGACCTTCCTCATTCCTTTCCCAGCTGTACAATGTGCGCCATAGTCTATTCAACCGGTCTTTATGCTCGGACATTTAGGTAGTTTCCAGTATTTTGTAGTCACCAATAATACCATGGTGAATGCCCTTATGCCTGTGCATTTTCATATCCTTGGAGGTGTATCTTCCAAATAAATTCCTGCAAGTGGGATTGCTCAACTGAAGGATATAGGAGTGATTTAAAGTTTTCTTTGAAAATGTATTTAAGTAAAAAAAAAGTGTGAGAGTTCAAATCAAATGATTAATAACAAGTAGTTCAGGCAACACAGAGACATGGCAGAAATGGTAAAGGCAGGCCCACGACTGAAGTTTGGACAGAGCTGGACTAGGGCTTCCCTGGTGGCTCAAGTGGTAAAGAATCCACCTGCCAATGCAGGAGACGCGGGAGACTTGGGTTTGATCCCTGTGTCGGGAAGATCCCCTGGAGGAAGAAATGGCAACCCACTCCAGTATCTTTGCCTGGGAAATCCCATGGACAGAGGAGCCTGGCGGACTGGAGTCTGTGGGGTCACAAAGAGTCGGACACGGCCGAGCATGCATGCACAGAGCAGAGGACTAGGGTTAGAGCATCAGTCCCTTAACCTCTAAAACAGAAACCTGGTGGGGGAAGTGGGGGCTCCTGGTGTAATAACTGAGATTCAGATGGAGCGCCCTGGGAATTCATTGTCAGCGCCTGGGTCCTGGCCTCAGTGTAATCAGGGAAGATCTGTCCATGTGAGCCCACTGGTGTGCTTGCCCTGGTGGCGGTAGCGTGGTGCACGTACCCTGGGAAGGGAGTGAGGCCGCACCGAGGCAGGCATGGTGTCAGCAGGGAGATGGGGCAGCGGGGGCCCAGAAGGCTGTGTGGAACCATGCCGGGCGTCCTGATGCAGCATAAAGAGGGGTGCCCTTTGACCCTCCATCACCAAGGCCCAATCCTCATCAGCATCCACTTTTGAAGATGGCTGTAGAATCTGTTTTGGAACAGTGAGAATCTGGCGAGACCCTCTGCTCAAAAACCTGTTAGCCACTCCTCTCAGGCCCACCTAGCACTTCACATACAGTTTCTGGGAGCTGGCAGACCTGGGTAAGAATCACTGGTTTCAAGAGTTTAAAGGAAGGGGGAAGACCTGCTTGGTATTGGAAGAACTGTTGTATATTTTACCTAGAAAACTACGTGAAGCAGCTCATCCTACACTTAGGCCTGCTGGAGGAGTTGTTGGGGGCGGGGAGCGTGGGAGGTATAGGGGTGCAGCTGTGAGAACCAGAGTGACACGGCCAATGTTCGGAAGCCTCGTTGTATGTGGAGAGGCCGTGATGGGCCTGATTCTGCACCAGGAGTGACCTGGGAAGCAGGAGGAGGGGGGCAGGCTTGGCTTCCAGTGCGGATTTTGCAGCTGTGTGAAGAGTTACTTCTTTGATGATCCAATGATTAAGACTCTGTGCTTCCACTGCAGGGAGCATGAGTTTGATCCCTAGTCAGGGAAATAACCACATACTGTATGGTGCAGCCAAAAAAAAAAAAAGTCATTCTACTTCTGGGTTTCTGTTTCCTCATATCCAGTCTCTAGGACCAAACTAGTGGTTTTCAGGCCATTTTCTGGGAAGCTGCAGAATTCCCGAAAAGAGATCCATGGGGACCTGTGGTCAGAGACATTTGGGCACCCGCCCACCCTGTCCCTGGAGCAGCCCTGTGCTCATCTCTTACATGTAGCCACAGGCTACATGCACTGCGGTTTACTCAATAGCTCTTGGTGAATTGACTCAGTGGTTTTGTCTTAAATTCAGCTTCATCCTAAGCAGTAGCATCCACAAAACAGACTTTTTGTGCAGTTAGAATTTTCTTCTAATTCATGTTAAAATAAACACAAAACTGTGCAGACACATGGCACTTAAAAATTGCGTGTCAGCCCCCACCTGTGTGATGGGGCTGACCCCCGTGGGGGACTCTGATCTGTGTTGTCTGACTTCAGACCATGCTGGGAGGGAGGGGCCTGGTGAGAGCAACCCCCTCCCCTAGGTCCAGGCCAATTGTTGGCATTGGGGGGGATGCAGTCCTCCCAGCCAGAGGACAGTCGCAAGCACAGTCACACCTAACAGTCCCAGAAGGGAGGCCAGGATGCAACCCACCCCCATGAGGACACTGCACACAGGTGGATCACAGGTTGGAGGTGCTTTACACATCACAGCTGCTGAGCGTCATTGCCAGCCCTGCCTGGCCCTAGGCAAACTCATTAGACATGGTCCACTCCAGGGATTTGTACTGAGCATTTGCCTTATGCCAGGCCCTAGACTAGACACTACAATTCTGGTGGAGAACAAGATAGATACGGCAGCACCTCTCATGAAGCCCACGTCCTAGGGTGGGGAAGGCAGACAGGAAACAAGCAAACCAATAAATATAGAATGTAAAATCCAGGTGCGGGTTTCTCCCATAATCTGAAAGTAGAGACCTTTTGTAAGAGAAGATGGTGTAAAGCCAGGAGGCATGTCCTTTAGGATACACCTTGCTAACAGATGCTCAGAGTAAATGGACATAAGGCACCAGCACAGCTCAACGCTACAGCAGCTCGACGCTGAGGTGCTAACTAACTCTGCTTCCCAGGAAGGAGTTTGGTGGGGCCACTTCCATTCTTCGGGTGCACGCTGCCTCTGTAATGACTGTTGCAACACCAACACTAAATGCTATTTCTGCTTTTCTCCTATTTTTGTAAAAGGGAAAGTCCTTTTCAGGTTTCTTTCAATTAGCAAAAACAGGTAGTAATACAGGTCTTTCCATAAACGCCAAATGGCCTAAAAGCAAAACTTCAAAAAGTGGGGATACCTGTAGTTATAAATACCATAAAGTAAAATCAAGAGGAGGGGGGAGGGGACATCTCTATGGAAGAATTCCAAGTAATTTATGTAGCTGTCCTCCCTCACGGAGACAGAACATAGCTCTGTAATCCTTAAGTGTGAGCTGTGCTCAGTGACTTGCTTCCGAAGGGTGTGGGGTGCAAGGAGGAGGAAACGTCACTCTCCGGTGGAGGACTCTGACCAGCTTTCCCTTGGCTGAGTGATGCAGATGACCATCCCCCGGCATAAGTCATGTCGATAGCCTGTGCCCTTGATAGGATGTGATGAGACAGCACTTCCTCTCTGTGGTCTTCCTCCCAGAAACCCATAAGCCCAGTCTAATATTCAGAAGAATGTCGCTCAAACCCAGATTGAGAGGCATCCTAAAAATACCTGACCAGACTTCTCAATCCATAAGGTCATCCGGAGGAAGGGAGGTCTGAGGAACTGTCGCAGCTAAGAGGAGCCTAAGATGTGACAGCTGGATATAATGTGGTTATCCAGGCTGAGGCCCTGGAACTGAACAAGGATACTGGGGAGAAACAAGGGAAATCTGAATGAAGTATGGAGTTGAGTTCATAATAACTTGGAGAGGTAGAGGGAAAACCAAGAGCATTCCAGGCAGAGTAAACAGCCGAGCAAAGGCCCTGGGGCAGGAACAAACCCGTGCGGGTCAAAGGCGAGTGACAAGATGCTCAGGACAGCTGGTGGGCCAGAGAGGGCCTGGAGGTGTGGTCAGCGGGGGTCAAGGGCTGGGCCGTGCGTGGCCTTGATACTGCGGATGGCATTTGGATTTTGTTCTGAGCGTGATGGGAAGACTGAAGGGGGACCTGGGCTAATTTCTGCTTAAAATCACTTGGTTCTGTGGACAACAAATTGGGGTTGGGGTTGGGGGTGGGGGCGGTGGACGCAAAAAAAGCCGTGGGAGGCTCTTGCTTGGGTCAGGGCGAGACGACGACAGAGCCCAGGTGTGCACCTGTCCTTCCTGAGAGGACACACAGGTTCACATTTCGTCATCCTTTACCCTCACCGTGTCTCCTGAAGATAGGGGGCAGCCCTTGAACTCTGGGTTCCAAGAACTAAGTGTTCACTGGTCCACACCTGCTTGTCAAGGAACTCTATTGTAATAAACGGGGACAGCTCATGGCACAGCCACCGTCCACCTCAAACTCAGGACGTTTTCCTTCGTTGGTTCAGACCTTTTTCTGAAAATGAAAATGTACATGGAGGTCAAGTCAGGTGCTATGAAAATTGTCCCTATTTAATTGGGAAAAATAAAGCGAGGTCCATCCCCTCTCTGCCCGCTGGAAGCTGTAAGTGGGAAGAAAAAACAAAGGCTTTGAAAAGGCAGAGCCCGTGCTACAGTGTAAACAGGTTTGGAATATTTTTAGTGGATTTGGTTATGTTTTATTAACCGCATGTCATTTCTTCCATGCTCCTCAATTCCTCCGGGAAGGAAGTGTGGTATCAATAAAGGAGAGTAAATAGCTGTTGAAGGAAAATTCTTGAAGTAAATCATTGCAATCTGGGCTTTCCTGTCAAGATCAGATGCCGTTTCTTGACATTGCCAAGCTGAAAGGAGAGAGGGGTGCAGGCCCCGTCTTATTTCTCCCTGGCGTGGGTGTTGCAGGGGCTCCTGTCACCACCGTCGAGTGTTTGCTGGATGTTTGCAGAGCAGGCTGCCGGTCTCCGTCTGGAGCACGAGCGTGTCTGTGAAACTCGATCCAGGGCCGCCTGGGCTCATCCCAGTGTCTGTGTTTGCTTCCAGAGATAGAGATGGTGATCATGGAGCGCAGCAAACTTCCAGAGCTGGCTGCCAGCACCTCCGTGCAGGAGCAGAACACCACGGATGAGGAGAAGAGTGCTGCCACCGGCCTGGACAGTGTCCAGTGGAGCAGGTAGCCGCCGGGCCAGGCAGAGAGCTGCCCCCGAGCCAGCCATCAGCTGCTGCTTGGTGTCTGGGATGAAGTGGTGGGGGGAAGTGCCCTGGCTGGGTGCCCACGGAGGATAAGCTGGGCCTCGTTCCACCACCCTGGTAGCCCCTTCTGCTTCGCAGCCAAGCCATCCTGCTGCTCCTCCCACTGGCCTCCAGAGGCGCCACTCCTCTTGAGAGACCACGGGGACGGAGCTGGCCCTCAAGGCCGTGGTACTCACCCTTCAGAATGAATGACTGAGGCATGACACCACTACTCTAGGCACTTCAGTGCTGGTCCTAACGGGCTGTGGCCTTGTTCGTCGGGCCACTCCTGGCTGTGACCTGCTGCCCCCAGGAAGGATGCCCTTGGGGGCAGCATTTGGATTTTATGATCTCATTCACTCACTGCTGCCATGCTCACCACTGTCTGTAGGGCCTGCCGTGGTGACTCAGCGGAACTGTCTAATGCTGCTGTCCACCTTCGACTTCTTGCTTGATGGTTCATTTCAGTGATGGCTGCCCAAACTATTAACACTATGCAATCTTCCAGATGCCAGCTTCCTGCAGCCTGGCTAGAGCTCCACCCCATGCCAGCTTCCTGCAGCCTGGCTAGAGCTCCACCCCTTCCAGAAGGAATCGGGTGGAGGGCTGCTGCCAAAGTTGCAGCGAACTGTTAGAGGGCTTCTCCATCTCAGTGTTATTTCCTTAACAGATGCCTGCAGTAATCTCCGAATCCTGTGTCAGTGGTAGTGAATGCGCAGCAATGTGGTTTCTCTGTCAGCCTGCAAGGCATTCACTTCCTGAACTCTCATGGTGGATGAAATACAAACACATACACTCACTCTATTTATTAATCCAACTTAAAGTGAAGTCTTGAAGCACACCAGTCTTTTCCTGCAGGTCTTGTTTATCTCTTTGCTTGACATGGGTTTCAGCTATCTAACAGAAAAGATTAATTTTTTTATCAGATGCACAGGGGAGCCATTTTTAGTTTCGATTAAATAGAAATCTTTGCCGCACAGTGTGGGTTATCAGTTGTACTGCCAAGGACCTTTCTAATTTTATTTTGTGGCCAAAAAAAAAAAGTAACACTGGGAGCTCTGAAAATTAAGGGAATCATTCTAAACACAGAAAGGGAGGGGAAGACAACCTTTAGGTGCTTGGCTCAGCTTTAATTAGAATACAGATCATTAAAAAACTGAAAATAACTTGTCATGAGGGATGTGCACCTGCTTAATGCATCGCTGCATGCTCAGCTGCTCAATGTGTGACTCTTGTGCGAGCTGGTAGACTCGCTCTGACTCTCTGCGAGCCAGTAGACTATAGCCCGCCAAGCTCTTCTGTTCATGGGATTTCCCAGGCAAGAATAATGGAGTGGGTTGCCATTCCCTTCTCCAGGGGATCTCTCCGACTGAGGGATCGAAGCAGGCAGATTCTTCACCACTTAGCCGCCAGGGAAGCCCGTTCAGTTTCTTAGGATCTAATAAATGGAAACAGCACATTTTTGCATAGTGTGATAATACTGTAGCTTTCCTAAAGGAGGAAAAACACTCATGTACTGTCAAAAACAAAAAGTCAACAGACCAAATTTTATGTTTGAGTATTGGAGTTGAGACTTCTTTTTTTCTCCCCTGAATCTTAGTGAAGAGAGGGGTTTTCTTCAAGTTGATTGAGATTGTTTCTTAACTGATGGTGACTTTGGCATCTTCTGCCACGTGGTTCATAGTGGAAGCTGATCCTGTATCCTGAGCTGAGCCACATGCAGACTTGTGGCCCTGAGGAACTGAGCAAGAGCTGTGCTCAGCTCTGAGAGACTGGCCCCGGTGGAGAGCTGCCATGGCCTTTGCAAAGGTGCTGTGTTGTTGGTTGTCAGAGACACCCCCTCAGTCTTCCACCCTCTCTCCTCCTGGCGCTGAGCCCGGAGGAGGGCACTGAGGATGAGGGAGGGGACAGGCCTCCTTGACATGAGCTGAATCTTGACACTGGTCCACTTGTCCAGAGAAACAACACAGGACAAAGTGGAACTGTCCTTACATTCCCCATACACTGTGGGCTATCCCTGCCTTCATGGTGAAATACAGAAGTAAGAAACCAGAAACCACTCAGAACCTTCTTTCTTTAAAAAAAAAAAAGAAAGAAAGAAACTTAAAATTTAAAAAGTTAATAGACATTTAGAAAATGTAAAAACCTTGAAAAGTATAAAGAAGGGAAAAAAGGTCTTCATAATTCAAAAGCAGCTGGTACTAGCATTTTGGTGATTTCTTGCCTGTTTTTAATGCCCGTATAGTGGAGATTCTGCCCTCTTTCCCCTCAGTAGCTTATACCATACCATGTCTGTTATTTTTGGTTTTGGTTTTCTCTAATATCAAACTCCAAGTATCTTTTTCACTTTATTCTTCTCTTAGTAAACACAATTCTGATGGCTTCATAATACTTTGTCTCATAAAAGATGGTCAATTCACCCAGCCTTCCCCCTGCTACTGGGTGTTTAGTTATTTGTATTATTCCCAAATAAAAATACAGTCAAAATTCCAAACTATTGGTTTGCAAAAAAAACGTGTGTTTTAATACTTTATCCTACTCTTAAAGTTTGGAAGTGTTTTTGCTGGGGGCTGACAGAAAAACAGATCCACACATGGCAAAACTATTCACACATTAGAATGGTGATGGCTGCTCTGGGGAGGGGAGGGTCTGGGGCTCCAGAGAAATAGAACTGGAAAGTAAATGTTCCTTAAAAGTTTCTTCCTTTAATTTCTGTGTATTACGTGTTTATTTGAAATGTTATGACAAGTGCGTTTCACTGCTTTTCTGCATTTTTCAATATATTTTGAATCAGTGATACCTTTGTGGAGTTCAGAAGTCAGAAAAGTATAAAAAGTTACCCAGCGAATAGGTCTCCGTGTTTCTCTGCTGCACCTCCTGCCTTCCCACAGTCAGCAGCCTTGACCATGGCTTGTGTCCTTCGAGGGGTTACATGTGCCCTTTGTCACTCATTGAGGCTCTCTGCTCTCTTGGCCTCAAGCTGGCATCCTGGGGCAGCCGCAGACAGTCACGGGGTCAGAGCCTCCTGCCAACGGGCCAAATCTGTGCACATTCTATTATCCTCTTGTTGAAGTCTTTCCAGGCCAGGCCCTTCACCCAGAAGGGCAGCATTCAGGCTGTACTGTTTACGTATTTGTAGCCACTCGATAGATCTCACCCACAAAGCCTCAGAGGCGATGCTTCCTATCGATCCCTTCTAGCCAGGGAAGGTCGGCCCAAGAAACTGCCAGGTCAGGACCTGCCAAAGCGAGATCATGGAGAAGTGCCTGTGGAATCCTCACAATAGAAGTGCAACAGCAGCTCGCGTGTCTGAGAACTTTTCACCCGAGCCTGGGCCTGTGTTTGTGCCGCTCTGTTTCATTTCGCTTCAGCCCTTACTGTAAACCCTGAAGGGTTCAATCCCCATCTCACAGATGGGGGATTATAATTTACCCAAGGGTTTGCAGCTAAGAGGCAGAGTCAGCATTTGAACCTCAGCAGTCTGGCTCCAGGGTCCACAGTCTAAAATGATCCAGATTTATTGGTACCTTGCCTGCTGTTGTGAGTCTATCACGTTGCCCCGTCTCCTTCATTCTCTTCTCGCTCTTTGGAGTACTGCTGTGGGGTGTTCATGCTCTGCCTGCCCACTGGCTCGGGGGTGCCACAAGACCACGCTTATCCCCAGTGTGTGGGACAGCAGGTGGACTGTTGTTGAGTGAGTAGTCGGTTAGCCGTTCCTTAGTCAGTTTCCCCGGACATGGCAGCTTCCCAGGGCAGAGCCTGCCTGTCGACACCTCTGTATCCTCCGAGCATGGGGCTGAACTGGGCACTTGGTGGCCATGCTCTATGCTGCTGGCGCGTGCCTGCTCAGCTGTGTCTGACTCTTTACAACCCCATGGACTGTAGCCGGCAGGGTCCCCTGTCTATGGGATTTTCCAGGCAAGAATTCCGGAGTGGGTTGCCATACCCTCCTCCAGGGGTTCGCCCCAACCCAGAGATCGAACATGTGGGTCTCCTGTGTTGGCAGGCGGGTTCTTTACCACCGAGCCACCTGGGAAGTCAGTTCTGCTGGTTGGAGCGGGCAGGGGGGTGGGCGCTGTGAAGGGCAAAGGCAGCTGGCATCCCGTGTGCAGGTGAGGCTCACGCGGCCCCTCTCTTCCAGACCCTTCCTGGATATGGTGTACCATGCCCTGGACAGCCCAGATGACGACTACCATGCACTCTTCGTGCTCTGCCTGCTGTACGCAATGTCTCACAACAAAGGTAAGCCGCTCAGCTTGTCTGCCTTCAGGGAAAAGGACAGCTGCTTTCCTTGGAGAATTTCCTTTCTGGTTTTGGCAGACTCCCGCAGAACCTGTCTACAGCCTTGTTAGAGTTTCTCAGGTGCTTTTCTGCACACTGAAGCCACAGGAATCGGTTACTCAGGCAACACGGGGGCGGGGGGGGGGGGTGGTGGAGAGGGAGGTTCAAGTGTTGACCGTCCAGCGCAGCATGACGGTGTTCACACTGTGGTTTGCTCTCGACCCCTCGGTCTACAACTGACTTAAGCTTCTGACCTCTTTCCTAACATCAGAACAGAAATCAGTCAAATTGCAATCTTGGTTTTGCTATTTATAATAGTGTGCCATTCTGGGTTCAGAGCTAAAATAGACTCTGAGTGGATTGTGTGGAAGTGCAGGTTTCCTTTCTGAAGAAAGGTGTGGTTCTCTGGCTTCCCCTGTTGAGGCCGAGCGGTCAGGATCAGCCTCTCGCGGAGCTGACGGTTTTGATGAGGATCCATTCATTCACTTCCTGTCTGAGAACAGCCGCTGCTTGTGTACCACCTGGCTTGACACGAGCGAGTTCTGAACCCTCCACATCAGAAGCTCTTTGAAGGAAATGCCGAGAATATTCCTTCTGGCCCCTGCCAAGCGCTGGGCTCGGCATAACTGAGACCTTGCATCAAGGTCTGATGTTTTAGTAGGTTTCTCAAAAGCTTGTTGGGGGGTAGTTAGAGGTGGGTTTTACTATGATGGCCTATGGCTGGAGTCATTTAGAAAGCACTCAACAAAACAGAATATGTATTTATTCTGAAATAATTAATGATGATAAGTTGTATGCATGCTTACTCCATGGCTTCAGGCCTGTCCGACTCTCTGCAACCCCATAAACTGTAGCCCGCCACGCTCCTCTGTCCATGGGGTTATCCCAGCAAGAGTACTGGAGTGGGTTGCCATTTCCTACTCCAGGAGATCTTCCCGACCCAGGGATCGAACCCGTGTCTCCTATGGCTCCTATATTAGCAGGCAGATCCTTTACCACTGAGCCACCTGGGAAGCCCTTGATAAGTAAGTTAATTAGTGGCAAAAGAAGATACGGTGAAAAAGGCCCCCTTTTCCCACATTTGTCCTCCACCTCTTCTTCAAAGGCCATTTGTGTTAACAGTTTCTTGTGTCTTTGTAAAGATAGTTGTGCAAGCCCAAGTACCAAGTATATACGATTTTATTTCAATGGGTTCCCCACCCCCAACATGAATGGAGGTTCATTCCTTATTATGGTCCGTTCTGTGCCTTGCTTTTGTCACATCCTCATGTATCAGCATATCACCTCCCATCCCTGTAGAATTGCCTCGTGCTTTTTAATCCTATGTCTGTGCCGTTGTTTGTTCTGCCATCCCCTTACTGAATGACGCTGAGACCATTTCCAGGCTTTTCCTACTCAAGATGGAGCCAGCCATGGTGGCTGTTCTGTATAAGTCACTGTGCTCATATGCAAGTGCTTAGATCTAGTCTGAAGTGTTAGTCGTTCAGTCGTGTCCGACTCTTTGTGACCCCATGGACTATAATCCACCAGTCTCCTCTGTCCATAGAACTCTCCAGGCAAGAATACTGGAATGGGTAGCCATTCCCTTCTCCAGGGGGTCTTCCCGACCCAGGGGTCGAACCTGGGTCTCCTGCACTTCAGGCAGACTCTTTACCGTCTGATCCACCAGGGAAGCCCAGGAGAAGCATGGCAGGCTCCCTCTGATGTCCCCTCCCGACAGTCCTGTTGACTCCCGTGGCTTCTTCGATCCCCTCCAGCTCTGGCTCAGTGCCTGGCACATGGGAGCCCTCAGTTCCTGGGAATAAACAGAGCTCCAAGCCTGACCCATGGAGTCCGTCCCACCCGTGGATCGCCTGCCATCTGTGCCCACTTCACCCCATCTCTGCACTCTGACTCCCTGCACCTCACATGCTGGAGGCTTTGAGCTGGGTGATTGAACACCACCTTGAAAAGTCTGTTTATGCCACACTCGTCACCCGTAAATATACCCTGACCTCATCACACTTCCTGCCATTTCTGGTTCAGTTGAATTTGCCAGCCAAGGTTGAAACTGCCATGACCTTTAGCTTTTTCCCTCCTTTGATCCCAGCATTTAGTCATCAAGTGTTGTCATCTCTCCCTCTTTGGCCTGTCTGATCAGCAGAATGTAACAGCACAATTCAGTGCCTGGGTCTAAGCTTGGTGCTGGTGGCGAGGACCAAAGCCAGGAGAGCAGGCCGGATCCTGAGTGCGTCACTCCAGTAGCTTTACCACAGCCCTCTGGAGGGGTCAGCATGTGCTGACATGGCCTCCTCGTAATCCATCCTCCACAGCACTGCTGGGCAGTTCCCTGTAAGGCTGTTTTGTCCATGTCCTTCCCCTGTTCAAAAACCTTTGGGGCCTTCTTCTCTCCCTTCAACTCCAGCCTCCTGGAACCTGCTATTCTGAGTACCTGGATTGCACCCACCATCCTAACTTGATCTGATTCCCCTGATTCCCCATTGCAGACGCTTGGCCCTGGCCCAGGGATTCAGACGCTAAGTAGTGATTAACTCTTTCACAGAGATAAACTTGTAGTGACTGTCATGGTACTCTTCAATATTCTTTTGGTTACAAGCCCCAGAAACCACCTCACATTAAGAAAAAGAATCTTATGGGAAGGTCCCTGGGACAGCTCATGAGATCCAAGAAGTTGCTGAAAAGCCAAGGAAAGGGCAGGAACCAACCAACTCTGGGGACTTAAGAGGGATGGTGATTTGGGTCCAGCAGATCTCAGGCAGGGAATCTGTCTCCATTCTGGTTTCAGATTGGTGGGCAAGAGATCTGATTGTTCCAGGCTAGTGATGGGTCTGACTCTGGAGCAGTCAGTTGTGACTGAGGGTGGGGTGGGTGGGGTCAGGGTCACATAGCTCAGAGCTGGCCCCAGGGTGTTTCAGCTCTGCGTCTGGAACTGTTCCCAGAGAAGGGAACTTCTCTGGAAGCCTGGCAGCCACCCCAGTCAGTGTCAACACACCTACCTGTTCTTGGCGAGGCTTCTACCTTCTTGTATCCATCTGTGTCTTTTCTTGCTGTTTTCTCTGCCCTGACATCACCATCTATTGAAATTATGCTTGCCTGTCAAGGGCCTGCTCGGAAGTCACCTTATCCTAGAAGTTTTCTCTGAGCCCTTCAGGTGATACTCACTGTGGGTCCGTATCCTCTAGTATGGCAGGCACCTTTTACACTTTGCTGGATGTGATTTGCTAAAACTTTGTGAAGAATTTTTGCATCTATGTTTCTGAGTGTTATTGGCCTGTGGTCTCCCTGTAATTCTCTTGTTTTGTTGCTTATGTTCACCTAATGGAATGGATGGGGAAATAGTCCCTCCTCCTGAGTTTTCTGGAGGAGTTTTTGTAGAGCTGGTCTATTTCTTCCTTTACCATTTGGTGAAATTCACCAGTGAAACCATCTGGGCCTGGAGTTTTCTTTGAGAAAAGGTTTTAAAGTACTCAATTTCCTTAGTAGATATAAAGCTATTAAAGCTTTTTTATTTCTTCTACACAAGTTTTGGTAGCTTATATCTTTCTAGGAATTTGTCATTTCATCTAAACTATTGAATTTATTGGCATAGACTTTTTTTTTACCTATGTTCCTTTATTATTCTCTTAATGTCTGTTGAATCTGTAGTGATGCCCCTTTTCAATTCATGGTATTAATAGTTTAGGTCTTCATTTTTTTTTTCCTGATCAGTTTGGTTAGAAACTTTCAGTTTTAAATTAATTTTATTGGTACTGTCAAAGAACTTTTGGTTTCACTGACTTTTCTCTGTGCTTTTTCTGTTCTGTATTTTGTTAATTTCTGTTTTTTATTTTTGACCTTCAGCTGCTTATTTCAAATTTATTCTTTTTCTAGTTTCTTATGATGTAAGTTTAGATCATTGATTATAAGATACAAATCATTACAGGATGAGCAACCAAAAAGTTTGCTCGTGTTATTCCTCTTTAGTCATATCCTCTCCGTACCAGTCATTGATTTTTAAACCTTACTTTTTTTATAAAATACGAGTTTAATGCTGTATATGTCTCTCTAAGCACTGCTTTTGCTTCTTGCAATAAATTTTGATATATGCAGTTTAGTTTTTATTCAGTTTAAAATATTTTACAATTTCTCTTCCGATTTCTTTTTGTCTATTCTACCATCTGGATAATTTCTCATCATGTTTCTGTTACTGATTTTTGTTTGGTTTGATTTTTAGGTTATATTTTCTTTTTTTCCCTTTTCATGCTTTCATGCTTGGTATTTTTTGATTGGTTGACAGTTGGTATGAATTTTATGTTGGATACTGAATTCTTTCTCCCTTTCAGTATTTTTGGGCTTTGTCCTGCGACATGGTAAAGTTACTTGAAATCCATGAGATCTTTCTAGAGTCTTGCTTTTAAGCCTTGGTAGTGGTAGTCCAGAACAGCCTTTAGTCTCAGGCTCATTTGGCCCCAGTTTGGAGGCTGTCCGCTTCTGAGGACTCTACTTGATAAGCCATGATTAGGTGGCCCATCCTTGTAGGCTGGTGTAAATGTGAGTTCTTCTCAGCCCTGGGTAAGCTCCAGGGGTAGTTCCACGCTCCTCCTCCCAGTAGGCCTTTGCATTTCTTCACCTGCATGCCCTGTGGCAGAACTGAACCGAAGCCTTGGAAGGAAGGCTCTGCAGGTCCGCAGGTCCGTGTGCCTCTCCCTTCTCTTCTTCTCTTTCCCATCAGTTCTAGTCACTTACCTCTCTGAACTGCAGGCTCTGCCTTCTCACCCCAGAGGGACCACGGGCTTCGTTCGGCTTCTGTTGGTCTGTTCTGAGGCCTGGAAGCTTTCCAGCCAGTGATCTGGAGCAATCCCAGGCCCACTGCCTTTGTTTCTTCTCTCTCAGGTTCCCCTCCTATGTTGCAAGCTGTCTTGTCCTGTGTGTCATAACCACTGTCTTATATAATTTGCTGACTCTTCTAGTTGCTTGAGTGA